ATACTTGCATTGAAATCACTCAAATTTAAATCATTTTAAATCTCACCTATTCGTTCTTTAATTTTTATTAAATTATTTTTTTTTAAATCAAGAACAAAATTTCTGTAAACGTTAAATAATTTGATATTATACTATCAAAGATCTTATATTTAATTCGAAATAAATTTAAATAATAAAAAATTCTTTTAAATAATAGGCTTGAAAGGGGAAAATGATTATAAACGATACAAGGAAGTCAAATGATAGGAAGATATTTGCATATCTCTTAATTAAGATTCCCTGTCATTAAATGGTGGGGGGTTTGAAAATGTATCTGTGTGTGTGCGTGTGTGTGTGTGTAAACGTGGAAGCTTTAAAACCGGCTTTGGGTGTTGTTAACGAGCGAAGGTTATCGTCGAGAAATGATGATCCTATTACGTTCTCAAGCGTACTCATATAACCGAAGTGGAATCGAAGTGAACTTTTACAAAAAGAATTGACACGAAAATGACTTTGCTAGGAAAACGCCTTTTCCTCCATCAAATGAAATCAGACAAAAAGAGAGATAGAAATAAGCGAGAAGAGGATAGGCAAGATGGGAGTGGGTGACTGGAAGAGAAAATTTTCTATAGTATCGTTTCAGTATATTACCGGGCAGAAAAGTGTGCGCACTAGCGCGCACACACACACATCCAAAGTTCACTCTCTCTCATCGTGCAAACGTCGGAGTTGCACTTTATCAGTAGCGCGGGCTTTTATGTAGCTTTTAAAAGCTCGACGAGAAAAAAAGAGAAAAAAAAAACAGAAAATATAAAGGAAAAAAGAAAAAAAAATAACGTTCGATCGAAACGGCCTCTTCTTTCTTTTTCCGCGTTTCCTTTGATAGGACGATCAAAAGACCACGGGGGAAAAGCAAGCAATCGGGTTTTCTTTTTTTTTTTTTTTGAAAAAACCTAAATAACGCTTGCGCACATAATCGATAAAAGTTTGATAATACATTTCTCATATAAAATAGTATAATAATTATAAATAAATTTAGTCTCGTTAGATCAAGAGGATACGAAGGAAACAATTTTTATGGTGAGGATTTATTTGAATCTGACGTTAATTGGAATTCCAATGTTTTTTTTTTTTTAATAAAATTATTCTAAATCATATACGTCGTCTATTTGATTGAATAGATATATGACATACAAAATCTTCTTGACCGTTATCAAAATATGAAATAAGAATTTTAAGTATGAAAGTGTCGATGTTAAATGAGTTCCGGAATGTTGAGGGGAAAAAAAACTAGGATAAGGAAGACTCGAAACAAGCTGTGGAATTTGACGTTAGCTTATCTGAAGAATGCCTCGAGAGGAGTGAAATAGAGGAATAAGATGAAGAAGAGGAACAAGAGAAGATAAAGAAGAAAAAGAAGAAGAAGATGTGATGGAAGTAAATAAGAAGATGATGTGCATCGGAATGGAATGGTTAAAAGGAAACACCAACAACAAACACAACGTACCGGATTCTAAAAGGGCCCCCAACTCTTCTATTTCTTTCTATTTCTATTTTCTTTTCCTAGAGTAATATAGCATTTAACTAATGTAAGCTATTTTAATACACGCACATGATAAAGGAAGATGATTGATTAAAATTCTTCGAGGTACAGACGACGCCTACGAGGCACGTAATTGAAGGCACGTTTTATTTATCAGTCGCGATTCTTACGGTCCGCGAATCGGCGCCTCTTATTCGTGTCGATAAGAGATCACTTTTCTTGGAAATAGTCTACGAATACATTAATTTATCTTACATCTTTTTTTTTTATAGTTATCATACATATAAATTATGCGTATGTATGTTAGTAAAAAAAAACACAATATGTATTAATATTGGAATGTTAGATGGAAATTGAAATATAATATAAAACGATACTTTTAATTAATTTCATTACTAATTAATGTACTTTCTTTTAATTCTTACATTTTAATGTGTATTTATTACCATATAAAATAGTAAATCGTTGGAAATATTAATGCCAGATTTTTATTTTAATTAGTACAGACATAGAATTGATTTAATCGGAATTTAAATGAGTTCTTTGTTAAACTGTATTTGTCATGTGTATCTAAATTGGTGCACAGTTTAAAAAATATTTCAGACATTATTCTAAATCGCGGTGATGAACTTGATGAGTATAAAAATATTTGATTGAACCCTTTTTCAAATAATATTAATACAATGTAAAATGTATAAACATAAATTCGTAAAACCCCTGCAAAAATTGGAATTTCGTGGAACTTCAGGGTTTCAAAGAAAAAAATAATTTAAAGATTACTGCTACAAACCATATAAAAATAAAACCAACAATCATTCTTGGCTTCTCCATTAGCATTAGATTTGTTACCATTAGTCTTAAAAATGAGTTTCGATATTAATACATGTAATAAATCAAAAGAAAACAATTCGTGATACCCTTGAAAAAGTTGCAAAATTGTTCGAAGATGACTGTTCCATACAATATAAAAATAAAACCAATAATCATTCTTCATTTATTAACCTGTTACCATTTCTCGTAGAAATAAATTTCAAGGTGTATCGAAAAATAATACACGTGGCAAGAATAACGTGTTAATTATGAAAAGGAAAATTAACGAGGTAACATGCAAGAGGTTAAATACTTTTTCTTTTCTATGACGTCACGGAAATATATATATATATATATATATATATATATATATATATANTATATATATATATATATCGTTTTTCGATATTAAATTCAGACAAGCACTTTATTCTGTTAACCGATCGTTAGTAGAAACGAAGAGAGAAATAATAAGCACGTCCTGTTTTATTTTTCCTTTCTTTTTTGTCGAAGACAGAATAAATTCAGTATTACATGTATATAACACATATATGTATATACGCGTATATATATACATATGCAGTTAAGGTAGAACCAGTTCTTCATCATCGTGGCGAGAAACAATATATTATCGTATCGATTGTCCGCCCTCGAGCGAACTTACGAACGAATCGAACGAGCATCTACAAAACCGATCTCGACTATTATCCCTTCGACCTTTCTTTCGCACGCGAAATCTCGACGGAAAAGAACGAATTCGCGCGTAGGTGAACAATACCGAACGTATCAAACCACTGATACGAAAAAAAAAAAAACGAAGAAATAGTAAAAAAAGAGAGATATACTGAATAAAAGAGTAGAAAAGAAAAAGTAAATATTTGAATGTTAAACACAAAATCGGCAAAACAAATCGTACAAATAACAGGCAAATTCTAACCGCAGAAAATATAATCCTATCATCGATGAGTCGAAGATAAAAGAAAAATGATAAAATATATGAAAGCTGAAAAAAAAGAAAATATATCATACAAGTTGGATGAAAGCCCAAAAAGGACCTGTTCCCTTTAGTGTTCACAGATTTAGAAAAAGATAAACGTTCTTGTATCTTTTGGTGTGATAACAAAAAGAAAAAGATGGTGAGTAGTTTTAGGTGAAAAAGAAGTAGAAGTAGAAGAAGAATAAGGGAAAAATGAGTTGAAGGAGGATCGGTTAGTGGACAGGGAAAGGGAAGGAAAGGGAAGGGAAGAGAGAGAAAGAAAGAAAAAGGTGTGCAGAGCAAAGTACAAAAGGAGGGGTCATGAAACCGCAGGCCGTCGGCTATGGTAGATTATCGACTGGCGCAACTTTGCGCTAGGGAGTGGGCCGAACGAAGGACCGAACAAGGGATTGGGAGGGGGGGACCAAGGGTAAAATGCGCTATCGTCGAGCATAAATCCGCAGATACGACGTGAAAGCCAAAGCAAAAGCATCAAGAAGGATATTTCTTTTCTTCCGGATCCCCTGTTTTACTGATGTTCTTCTTATTTTTGCTTACTATTATTGTTATTGCTCTGTTACTATAATTCATAATTTCTTTTTCTAGTTTCTAAGATAAATTCTTAGCTTTTGAATTTAATTTACAATTACATGACTCGAATTTATTGCTTAAAATTTTTTGAGGGATATATGAATAATATTTTGTCCAATGCATTTAGAATGATTGACATAGAAAAATATCACAAATTTAACGTAATGATTTTTTTCAAGAATATAAACAATTTTTGCAAATATAGATAGATTTAGTATTACATCCAAAACATAAAAAATTGCGTAAAGATCCTAATTGATAAGAAACATATATTTTTAGATTTTAAGATTGTTCACTGCATATACTTGCATTGAAATCACTAAAAATAAAATTGGACTCGGGCTTGTTTTTTCGTGTTTCTTCAGAATATTAACAACTTTTGAAATTGTAGATGGATTTGGGATTAGATATGAATCATAAAAAAATGATAAATCATTCTTAAAGATCTTATTTGCTTCTAAATAAATTTATGTTACATTTATGTATAAGATCGTCTATACTCAAACAGCAAATTGTTCAACGTTCTAACATTGACTGGTCATTATTTATACGAGTTTGCCGATAACGCAGATTTATGACTACAAAACATCGTTATTGAGAGTAATATTGTAGAAAGAGCGTTGTCTGGTATATCTACCCACGCAAACATCTCGTGCTTTTCAATTCTCATGTAATTACATAAATACTGAAATTTAATATGCTGCTATGTTTTTTACGATTTTCTGTAATTCAATAAAATTCTTGTCTTTTCTTATCCTATTTTTTTTCTACGAACAATGCAACGTTACGTCAACTTTTTTGCGCATTTCAAACTACGATAAACTCTAATTAATATTTATAAAACATGATTATGTATCTTGCATTTTATTAACTTTCATTGTTATTCAAAGAATCAATCATTCGAATTAAAAAGATAGAATTTCTAATATAAAGATTATATGTTAGACATATTAAAAAAAACGCGAAAGAGACTCCATTTTGCTTTTATGGAATAAGAAAAAAAAACAAGGAATACAAACAAGATAAAACTGCGACAAGAAACTCCCATTAAAGTTCGATAAATCGATATGGAAGATCGTAATGGATGTTTCAGCTTCTTACCTTCAAGATTTGCCATAGAAAACCTGTAGCTGTCGATTCTCGGAGTATTAATGTCCGAGTTGAAGGGCCTGAGGGTTGCCGAGCTCACATTATCAAGACCCTGTAACAAAAATACAGAAGAAAAAAATTAAATTCAGTACTCTTTAAATCGATATTCCAAGCAGGAAAATACTAAATCTATGATATCGAAATGAAATGGGACGGAATTGGATAGAAATGGAGAAGTAAAAAAGGGGATTTGTGATAAGGTTGAACATTTCATTGGTGGATCAGGAACCTAATCCTTTTTGAATCTCAACGTTTTCATCGGGTTTTATAGGAAAATCGATTTGTAGAAGATCGTCGATTGGGTCACCCAATTTCCGCCAGTCGTTCGAATAATTTCAAGGCAAGTAGAGGATGAAGAGGATAAGAGATTGGTAGTTGTGCACTGTAAAGGGTTGCTGGTTTCGAACTACTATTACATGAAGGGTTAGCATTCGTTGGAAGAATATTTGAAGAGGGATCGATCAAGTAGTTCGTATTTTCTGCTGGTTTCGTTCGACGAATATTACCTAACAGGGAACTTCAGTAGGTACGCAAAGTGAAATAGGATTAGAAGGGGGTAACATCTTGCGCGTAAATCTATCGTGAAAGCGAATTTCATGGGATATAATCCCAAGGACTTCTAGAATATTCGTATTCGTGGAGATTCTAAGGATTCAATGTACAGATTTCTAACACTGAATACTATCCTATGAATTTGGATGATGGGTAATCAAGACAAAAGACTATTTACGCATGTTTGGATCCTAGATATAGTGGTTCTCAAATTCTCAAATAGTTAAACTCAAAGGACACTTTGATTAACATTTGAAATCTTACAATTATAATTCATAGAGTTAACTTATTGTCCAAAATCACTGTTTTAAAAAATATTATGAACAAAGTTATTAATAAAAGAATAGAAGAGCTTGTACTAATTATTTTACCAAGTGTTCAATACAACTGACACTGATTAATACTTAAAATCCTAAAATTCCAATTAATAGGGTTACATGTTCTTATTGTTTAGAACTATCATTTTAAGGGATATAATAAGCAAAGTTTTATAATAACAAAAAATGCCAATTAATTATTTCATCAAGTGTTTAATATTACAGACCTAAATTCAAAGGACACTAATTGATACTTAAAGTCCTAATATTCCAATTAATGAGAATTTTATGATGAATTATGTGTTATCAGAGTAGACAAGCACTATTTTAATGGATACTACGAGTAAAGTTTTATAATAGTAAAATAATAGTGCATGAATCTATCGTTTTACCGGGTGGTCAACACCAAAGACGCGTTTTACGAAAGAAAAGAAATCTCTCTTGCGTTCGACGAAAGTTGAACGTTCTCTCTCTCGCGGCTAGCAAAAGCCGTATATAGCCTACGGACTTCCGCGTTTTGAGCCATTAGCTGTAAATAATGTGCGAGAGAGAAAGAGAGCCTGGGTAGGCTCACGCGTTCAAGCGTGTGTACACGGAGTGTGTTATACTCTGAGCTTAATCAAGCAGGAGCGTCTAATACACACAAGCAACGTACCTCACACAATAGCACAGTACCTTCGAACACACGACAAAATGTTGACTCGACGATATGCTCTATCGAGTGCACCACGAACCTTAGCATGATGTATTCACGTATGAACACCTGTAAGTGTGTGTATATGTATGTGTGTGTGTGTGTGCGTATGGAGCGGGTGCTCGAGAAACTTCTCGCTTAACTTAAACTATGCATATATGCGTCTAAACATAGTACGGATAAAATTAAGATAATAGATATCTTAAATGGAACGTGATGAATTTGTGCAGAAGAGTATTAACATTATTATTATTATTATTATTATTATTATTATTATTATTATTATTATTATTATTAGTATNTTATTATTATTATTATTATTATTATTATTATTATTATTATTATTATTAGTATTATTATTATTGTTAGAAAAATGATTCGATTTATGACAAAACTTCTAAATAAAATGGTCAGCTAATTTATTGGTTTGATTATTCAGACGAATTTTATGAGAATCAAATTTAATTAGACTCGATAGATGCGTTTGCGTTTCTAAGAACAACGTCAAAGTTAGCATATTGTGGGATTGGCAGGCAAGCAGGCGTTTGCCACGCGTCACTGAGAAATTCTAACGCCGTCGATAAATGTGACGAGGAGTGTAGTGCACACGCGTCGGTAGTCACGACGCTTCGTCGCCTTTTTCAATGTGCTGTTGGTGCTACTGCTACTGCTACTGCTACTGTGTGTTGGTTGCTGGTGCTATTGCTACTGGTGTTGGTTGCTGGTGCGTCTAATGTGACTCTGCTCGTTATAACGTAACCATTGGAAGTTCACCGGTTGACAGAGAAAAAAAGAAAAATGAGAAAGAAAGAAAAAGAGATAGGTACAGGACACAATTAGGTCCCGTCGAATAAACAGACTCTTCCTGTAACTCGAAACCCGTGTACGCAATTATACACTTCTTCTGCTAACTTTGATCTTCCGTTAGAATCGTTGGATCTGTTGTCTGTCATAATTAATGAATTAACGAAAAGTAGGACATCATTAGGATAAATAATAGGTTTCTAATTTTATAGTATATAGTATTACTATATTTTCTTTGTAAATTCAAAATGACTGATACATTTTAATCTTTTTATTCTCGCTGTGCTAATTTGTTCCGATAAAAAATAAAAGATAGAAGAATGAAAGGAACTCTTGACAATGATTATGTTCCTTACAAAATTATGGTTCTTGGCCCTTTAACAGGCATACGCTTTTTCTTTAATGTTTTCTTGTCGAGAAAACACGGGGTAGAATAAGAAAGGAAACTGAGAGCGAGCCTGGCGCCGGTTTATTTTCGGCGAGACCTTCGAGCCTTTATTACTATACTAAGACAGTATTTCCGTTTAATTTGACTACCCAAAAGGAACAGGAACACCCTCTCTCTTTCTCTTTCTCTCTCTTTCATGTGGGTGTAAATATCGATCGTGTAACCAAATTTAAGACAATTGTCTGCTGTTCCTTACAATCGATTAAAATTCAACATTTTTTTCTTTCTTTTATTAATAGTGGAATATACAATCAAGTAATTTTTACTGATGTTATACATTAACAGAAATTGTAAATTCAAAAGAATGGTTAAAATGATAACAAAATCAAACAATAAATATTATCAAACTTTCTATGGAATATTTTCAAACGAGAACTCATATTCCTCGTTGTTTAAAATTCACGAGAAAATAAGCAAGAAAAACAACTGTAATGAGTTCCATGGGATAAAAAGAAAGAAAAAAAAAGTAGAGAGAAGGATAAAAATTAGCATAAATTCGTGGTGAGTTCTGGCGGGTAAAACGTTTATCGTAAAAAGCACGGTCGCAGAAGAAGCAAACCACCACCACCACGACCATAACCATCACCACCCCCACACTGAACAGGCTTAGAAGAAGTGCGTGTGGAGAGCTTAACAGCGATATTTAAATGCCGTTACTGACTGTGAGTATAGGTAGGTTTCAAGGAGGGAAGGTAAAACAAGAGTCGGTAGAAGAGCGCTTTACATACGATTTGCATTTAACATTCCGAGTCAGGAAGATGAATTTAACGTTGAGACTCTCGATGGTGTATACAACATCGAATTCTTCCTTCTTTTTCTTATTTTTCTTCTTCTTCTTCTTATTATTATTATTCTTCCTCCAATGTATCTATCCTTTTCAAAGACCCTATTACCTTTCATCGATATCGATATTGTATCCTAAATTGGGTATCAGTTTACTTTAATTTTCGGATCGTTTGTTCGAAGCCAAAATATTCCCTCTCCCAATGTTTTACTGTTATTTTATTTTTTAATTTTTTGTTGTTATTTTTATCTCTTCAGTTTTGTCTTTTTTGTTTTTGTTTTTTTTTTTTTTTTTACGTGACGTAGGATGAAAAGCAAAGAAGAAATAAAAACAGGATTGAGCATGAGAAAAATAAATGTCGAGAGACGATGTTGTTGGCAGTTTTGAATTATATGTGTTTGCACGTACCAAAGTGTCGTTTAAACTGAAACTAAACTAAGTTTATCGCGACGAGACTTGAATATTACTGAGTATTAATTATTTTCTTCCTTTTTTTTTCTTTATCTTGAACACTTCGCTAACCAGTAATTTGAATCGAAATCATCGAATAGCTGAATAGAAAGAATATGAAAATATTGGTAGAATGAAAGGTTCATTTTTCTTTTTTTTTCTTTAAAGTAAAGTTCCATGGAAATAAATTTAGTTACATTTGCATTCGGTCAAACGTTCCATATAATATCAATCTATTCCTTTTGAAAGATGATTTGCATAATAAATGATCTGACCCGTACTACCTTTTTCGAAATTCAAATATGACCGCGCGTTTTCTTCAACTATAACACAATTCAACTAATAAAAGCAGAAGCAAAAGCAAAAACAGAAAGAGAAGTCATTTATTTTACAATACAAAAGCTACCGCCGCTCATAAACATTCAATTCGTTCAGAATTTTCAAACTGGTAATATAAAAATTGTCTGAAATTACCGGAACTACTACCTGCATGCATAATTTCGTTCGTCATCTAAAAAAAGAATATTCGAAAGGACCTCAAGAAATTTCTACAATATTTCTCGTTCGTTTCGTGCTGCCTCCGATTTTTTCTTACATTTCTTTTTTTTTTTCTTTCATTTTTCATTTTTGAGTTTTTTTTTTCTTCTTCTTTTTTGTCGAGGAACGAAGGAAGTAAGAAAAGTTTTCGAGGATCGAATAATGCATAATAAAATGCAAATTGCGATCTTGAAGAATATGGGGAGAGAGGTGGAAGAAGGAGGAGGATGAGGAGGGAAAATACGTAAGCGTACTCACGAGGTCGTGTGCCTTGTGGCTTTTCCATCGGAACAGCCTGTCCATCTGTACACGTTGCTGTTAAAACCAATCTCGGTTAACTTCCGCTATTCTTTGATCGTACAACAACCTAACATTTTCTTCTTCTTTCTTTTAGATATCTCCTCTATTATCAATGTTATCGTATTACCGATCGATCTGACGAAAAGTCACGTGGATGCAGTTAACA